GGCCCTAGAATCAGGTTATTAATGTTAATGGTTCACGTGTAGCGGGGACCCCCTATGGATCCCCATGGATACTAGTAGGCTGGTAGAAGAGGAAAATATGTTGTTTAATGATTGAAATACAAAGGCATGGTAAGTGTTATGTTATAAAGTCTATATGATTTCATGATGATGATAATGTTATTGCTTTCATATGTTGTTTTTATGGATCTCACCGAGGTAAGTGGACAGTAAAAGTTTTTATGTTAATAAATGAGTTTGTTATAAATTATGCTCCATTGATCATTTTTGTTTTTTACCCACCTTTACTTCTGTGGCAGTGAGATAGTGTGATGTCTTTACTGGGCTGGTGTAGCTCATTCCTTATTTAACCATTTCAGATCAGGAAGACATTGTTCCTGAGCCCGTTCCACAGGAAGACGGCGAAAGAAACGCCTAAAGACTTCATAGTTATATTTATAGTTCTTATTTCGAGTATCTCTTTTAGTTAGTTTGTTCCTTTATATTTTGAGTACGTTTTGGTTATTGTGTAAGGAATGTTAATCAAAATTTTTATTACGCTTCCGCATTTGAGATTTTTAATACATACATTTCATTTAAATTTCCGGGGCCGTTACAGATTTGGAAAATGGAGACTAAAGGAAAATGGAAAAGTTGTGTGATTAAATAAACAGATGGAATGGCAGCCTTACTAGATATCCTAGGAGATAGTGGACAGACCGGGTACACAGGGAACTCTACCGTGAACGTTGTCTCATACCGAACGGGGTATGGAGACTTGATAATTTGGTGCTCATACTGGACAGGGCATGGGGCCGGCCCGCTTCACACTCATACCGGACGGGGTATTGAGATTTGATAATTTGGTGCTCATACCGGACAGGATATGGGGACGGCCCGTAATTGAGATTGTTAAAGAAAAGGGGTCACGTGTAGCGGGGACATCCCTATGAACCCCCATGGATACTAGTAGGTTGGTGAAAAGGTGACAATTATTGTTTGATTTATTTGACGATGTGTATAGATTTATAATATGTGTTATATTGCTGATCTTACATGAAATTATAATCCGTATGATATTATTGTCTTCATAGGTTGTTTTCATAAATTCTACTGCGGTAAGTGAACGGTAAATGATTTTATGATTGATAAATGAGTTTGCTAAATTTAGTACTCCATTAGTTGTTTTTGTTTTTATACCCACCTTTATTTCTGTGTCAGTGATATAGTGTGATATCCTTACTGGATTCGTGTAGCTCATTTCTTATTTAACCATTTCAGATCAAGAGAATTAGGTTCTAGAGCCCAATCCGCAAGAAGATTGCGAGTAGATATTATATATTTTCTCTTTTTCGTTTATTTCCTCATTTCTTGTGTTTTTTTTTAAAGGGTGAATTTTGTAATGCTGTTTAGTACTTTTAAATTATTGTGTAAGGAATATAAACCTTAAACCTTTTATTTCGCTTCCACACTTAAGTTATTATCTATTTCTTTTGGATTTTCGGGATCATTACATACACATAGTTTTGTCAATCTTAATTAACATTATAAGAAGATATTAGCTTTGAAATTTCAAATAAATATTTTTGTTGAGCAAACACAATCAAAAGCAAAAAAAGAAATATTATTTTAATTGTGTTGAAAATTTTTATAAAATGGTTTTTTTTATTATCATTAAGTGCATACATAAATATATTAAAATATTACGAACTTATATATATAGTATAAGGTTTTATAGGATTAGATTAAATTGTAATTAAATCCACAATATTTATTTTCATTAAATAAATATAGATTTCTTTACCTTACTTGTTATATATATATATATATATATATATATATTGCAGATTATAGAATGAGATTACTTGTTTTATGAGTGGGTAAAGGGCATGTATTAGAAGGGAAAAAAGGAAAAAAGAAGGCTGATTTTTTATTTAGAAAATAATAATTTATTTAGAATAAAACAAAAAAGGTAAAATATAATAAAATTTGATTTTTTATGAAAAATAATAATAAAAAAATCAAAACGTAATCCTCACTTCCTTAAAAAGAATCCACTCAAAGACAATCAATGCATATGACCCTTCACCATTAAACCCTCTTCTATTATTTATATCCTTTTGTGCTTTCTTCATCCCCCCCCACATACATTTCTCAAATCTCTTTTGTCTCTCTTAATCTGTTTCTCTCTCTCAATCTCTCTCAATAAGATGTCGATTCCATCTAAAACCAAGAGCCCAAAAGTCACTAGTTGGGAGATCCAACCATTCGCAAAAAAAGTTGAAGTAGGAGTTGATGCAGATCCGGAGTCAACCAAAAAAAGGAGCATGGTTTTGTATTACTGATAGAGTGCAAAAATTCATCGGGGTAAGTTCCGAATTATGCATATATGTGAAGGTTTCGATTGTTTTCTATTTTTGAGATTTTATTAAAAGGTTTCATCTTGAAACAGAAAATAATGAAGGAGTTTAGAAAAAAGGTGAAAGAAGAAGAAAAAGAGAAAGAAGGCCCGTCAAGCTACACAGGCAGAACAATTAGCTGCAGAACGGGTTAATATTGCGACG